CCTTGGGAAGTTGGAATGTCTGCTGCGTGCTTTTCTATGGCAAGGCAAGAACAAGGTTAAGGGAGGCCAATGCTTAGTTGCTTGGGACACGGTCTCTCTACCACACCCCAATGGTGGCCTGGGTGTTCGTCAGCTACAAGCCCACAATCAAGCTCTCATGTGCAAGTTTGTGTCCAAGATCTTGCAAAGTTCAGACATACCATGCTATGAATGGTTCGCGAATCATTACTGCCAAGCTGCTGTTCCTCATAACTCTCGCAGTAGGGACGCGGCTATCTGGAAAGGGTTTAAGGAGCAGGTCCCTCTGGTTATCAATTCTTCGAGATGTGTTATAGGCTATGGCACTTTGGTGTCTTTCTGGAATGATCACTGGCTAGATGAGGGTCGACTCCGCCTTCTATACCCCACTTTGTTCTCCTTCGCGTCCAACCCAGATTGCTCGGTGTCCTCCCAGTATGCCAATGGCTCATGGGCTCTTTAGCTACATCCTAACCTCTCTCACACAGCTTCAGTTCAGCTGCTGGCCTTGCAGGAACAGTTATCATCCGTTTCACCAAACCTACTCCATGAGGACGCGCGGCTACCTTCCTTGGGTCCTGGCAAGCTCTCTACATGGTATTTCTACGGCCTTCTCACCTTCAGGAGTGTGCTCGCCTCCTTCGAGCCCTGGGTCTGGGTATCTTTGGTACCTCTAAAACACAGGGTTTTTCTTTGGCTCGCGTTCAAAGGACGACTCAACACCAGAGATAATATGGTTAAAAAAGGATGGTCTGCGGTGGCACCGTTTGCTCACTGTGGTGCCTGTCCTGCGGTGGAGTCCGCTAACCACCTGCTGCTCCGATGCGGCTCAGCATCCTTTCTTTGGAGTAAGCTGGCTCTGGATACTTTGGCTACTTCGGCACCTGGCATCCTAGATTTTGTTCAGCAAGCACAACATATCAACTCAGCTTCAAACGCCAATGGAATGCTGCTTTCGCTGCCTGTGCTGTCACTTTATGGCATGCCAGAAACGACAGGGTTTTCAACCACAAGGTTTGGTCTGCGAGTTACACTCGTTTATATGCTGCAAACCTGCTACGTCTCTGGAGTAACAGAGCCTCTAACCAGCTTGCAAAGGATGACATTCAGTTATGGTGCCAGAATCTCACTACTTAGTGCTGTGTGTTTTCTTTTGATGGTTGTTTGATGGTTTTTTCCTAACTCTCACCCCCTCCCCCCTTGATCTCCTCTTATGCTTGTGCTTTGCACTCGGGTGCAATGACCAAGTTGTGTTTTGTATTGGCTACTTCATCAGGCTTTGCCTGTTTTGAAATATAAGGTTGGCAGCCAGCCACCTTTCTTTTTCAAAAAAAGATTGGTCATACTAGGAGTAACAAAATGATGTGGCAAGTAATTAAAAAGAAGAGAGACAAATAGAGTAACATAATATGTTACCATCACATAGCGCTTCGCAATGCAAAAATGACTCTACAAAGTAATAAATGAAAATATTTTTTTACCACACTTATGACACTACCCACTATCGAGTATGCATGTTACTAGTCTAAATTACTCCCAACTAGCAAGTTAAAGCATGGTTTTCATTGCACCCAATCACAACCAAAACAGAGGCGGATACACGTAGTATTACATATGCCCGATCACAAACTATCAGTCCGGCAGTCCGTGCAAAAAACCCGGCATTTTTGCCCTGCCAGACCGGATATCCGAGCCTCGACGCTCACTTTGCCGCCGACTCCTACTCACCGTTCACCTCATCAGATGCCTACAGCTCGGCCGACAAGCGCTTCAACATCCTAACATGAACGGCTTGCATGTTCATCCTTGCATCGTCAACCAACTCATCCATCTTCATGGTCAACATCTTCATACCCTCTGAAGCGGCCCGAGCGCAACCCTCCTCTCTTCGAGCTTAAGTTTCTTCTCAGTCGTCGCCATCAAGATGTTAAACCTCTTGGCCTTCATTCTCTCCTTCATGTCAGAACACTTGACACATGTCTCCTACTTCTTCACCAAGATGTCCTTGAACCTCTCTGTCATCTTGGCCGCTGCCCCTTCTCACTTCTCCTTCTCCTCATCCCACTTCTTTCTCCGGCAACACTCTTCTAACCTTTTTGGATGATTCTTTTGTTGGGTCGGTTGGATTAGCCGCTTATTGCTCGGCGTTGACGCCGGCGGTCTTGGTGGAGTTGGCAATGGATCCACTTGGGTTGCCCATTCAAATTAAACCAACCATGCATGAGGACGAATCTCCTCTTCTCCACCTTCAAGAACAAGTTGCATGCACAAGAGGGCTAAAAAACATTATTAATAAGTTGTATAAGCAGCCAAATGACAACACATAGAGCATATCCGATCAACAAGTTGCATATCCGGCCAGATAACCAACTCAGTTGGCCACCGACTGATTAGTTGTTTCAAATGGCCGCAATACTTGCTCACAACCTCTTGAATCATGTACAATTGATGGTTGAGCGACTTGATCCCATGATTGCGGATGAGCTCGTTGAGGTAGGGGTCAAAATTCTTGTGTTCATGGAACCAGCATGAATGTTAGCCCAAAATATTGCGCCTTTTTGCTTCCTGCCATGGATCGGATCGATGCCAGTGGCCAACCGTGCATCCCACAACAACTAGTCCTCCCGCATGTTGAAGCTTTCTCCTCTAGCCCTCTTCTTTGGATCGCTCGTAAGTTCCTCTGGATCAAGGTCATCGTCACTGTCCTGCTCCGATTGGCCAGTGTACGTTGACGGTGCAATACACCGAGGGTGGCCTCTCAAAGGGGAACCCTACAGCTTGCCTAACACGATGCCCGTATGACCCAGATAGAGCCCGACAACAGGAGGGATCCCAGAGGCCGAGATAGAGCTCCGGGACCATCTTGGTGAGTGTCGGTGTCAAAATCGGTAGATCTCGGGTAGGGGGTCCCAAGCTGTGTGCCTGAGGATCGATGGTAACAAGGGACAGTAGGGACACGATGTTTACCCAGGTTCGGGCCCTCTTAATGGAGGTAAAACCCTACGTCCTGCTCAATTATATTCGGTGTGTATGAGGGTTACAAGAGTTGATCTACCTCGAGATCGTAATGGCTAAACCCT